CCACCTGGGAAGGGGTCCTTCCCCTGCCCAGGGAGGGGCCAGGCACGTGGAAACGGGACACGTGACCGAGGCAGGGCCCCAGGCGTGGCCTCCAGGGCTCCCACTGAAGCTCCTTCCTCCCTGGCCAGCACGGATGCCCCGGTCACACGCTGCATCCTCCAGGGCACGGGCCCAGCTGCACCCTGGTCCCCAAACATCCTGTCTCCTCTCCCCTCTCCGTCCCCTTGCAGGTCACCCCCCTCCTCCCGTTCAGCCCTCCAAGGGGCCAAACCCACCAAGGACTGTCCAGGGGTTCAGGTCAGGAGTCCACCTGGAGCTGCCTGCATCTCTCTCCTCCCTCCCTCCCCCCAGCACTCCCAGAAGCCAGGGCCCCTCCTGGGTGCCCCACCCCAGCCCAGGGCCTGCCACCTCTGCCCGCCTCGGCCCTTCACTGTGCCTGCCCCTTAGGCATCAGGCGGAGACGCCCAAGGACCATGTTCGGGGAAAGGGCTGCAGCAGAGCAGCCGCCCAGGGGCCCCGAGGGGGCAGGGTTCCTCCCAGCTCTGGCCAGACACCTGCTACCACCATGCCCCCTGCCAGCCCTGTCCCCACACCCATCTCACCGTGCCCCCTGCCAGCCCTGTCCCCACACCCATCTCACCGTGCCCCCTGCCAGCCCTGTCCCCACACCCACCTCACTGTGCCCCCTGCCAGTCCTGTCCCCACACCCATCTCACCGTGCCCCCTGCCAGCCTTGTCCCCCCCCCCATCTCTCCGTGCCCCCTGCCAGCCTTGTCCCCCCCCCCATCTCTCCGTGCCCCCTGCCAGCCTTGTCCCCCCCCCCATCTCTCCGTGCCCCCTGCCAGCCTTGTCCCCCCCCCCATCTCTCCGTGCCCCCTGCCAGCCTTGTCCCCCCCCCCATCTCTCCGTGCCCCCTGCCAGCCTTGTCCCCCCCCCCATCTCTCCGTGCCCCCTGCCAGCCTTGTCCCCCCCCCCATCTCTCCGTGCCCCCTGCCAGCCTTGTCCCCCCCCCCATCTCTCCGTGCCCCCTGCCAGCCTTGTCCCCCCCCCCATCTCTCCGTGCCCCCTGCCAGCCTTGTCCCCCCCCCCATGCGGGGGTGGGGGGCTCACCTGGAAGTAGGCCGTGTTCTCCTTCAGGTGCGCCTCCACGCAGCAGCACAGCTGTAGCATCCAGCTCCACTGGGTCTGCAGGGCCGCCTGGAAGGACTGTGCACGGGTCCCTGTCAGCCTCCAGCCCTGGCCCTGCCACCCGGAGCCCACATCCCTGGGGCCCACAGCCCAGGTCCCCTCAGCCCTGGTCCCCTCAGCCCTGGGACCCTGAGCCCCCATTCCCTGCAGCCCTGGTCCCTCAGCCCTGGTCCCTGCAGCCCTGGTCCCTCAGCCCTGGTCCCTGCAGCCCTGGTCCCTCAGCCCTGGTCCCTGCAGCCCTGGTCCCTCAGCCCTGGTCCCTGCAGCCCTGGTCCCTCAGCCCTGGTCCCTGCAGCCCTGGTCCCTCAGCCCTGGTCCCTGCAGCCCTGGTCCCTCAGCCCTGGTCCCTGCAGCCCTGGTCCCTCAGCCCTGGTCCCTGCAGCCCTGGTCCCTCAGCCCTGGTCCCTGCAGCCCTGGTCCCTCAGCCCTGGTCCCTGCAGCCCTGGTCCCTCAGCCCTGGTCCCTGCAGCCCTGGTCCCTCAGCCCTGGTCCCTGCAGCCCTGGTCCCTCAGCCCTGGTCCCTGCAGCCCTGGTCCCTCAGCCCTGGTCCCTGCAGCCCTGGTCCCTCAGCCCTGGTCCCTGCAGCCCTGGTCCCTCAGCCCTGGTCCCTGCAGCCCTGGTCCCTCAGCCCTGGTCCCTGCAGCCCTGGTCCCTCAGCCCTGGTCCCTGCAGCCCTGGTCCCTCAGCCCTGGTCCCTGCAGCCCTGGTCCCTCAGCCCTGGTCCCTGCAGCCCTGGTCCCTCAGCCCTGGTCCCTGCAGCCCTGGTCCCTCAGCCCTGGTCCCTGCAGCCCTGGTCCCTCAGCCCTGGTCCCTGCAGCCCTGGTCCCTCAGCCCTGGTCCCTGCAGCCCTGGTCCCTCAGCCCTGGTCCCTGCAGCCCTGGTCCCTCAGCCCTGGTCCCTGCAGCCCTGGTCCCTCAGCCCTGGTCCCTGCAGCCCTGGTCCCTCAGCCCTGGTCCCTGCAGCCCTGGTCCCTCAGCCCTGGTCCCTGCAGCCCTGGTCCCTCAGCCCTGGTCCCTGCAGCCCTGGTCCCTCAGCCCTGGTCCCTGCAGCCCTGGTCCCTCAGCCCTGGTCCCTGCAGCCCTGGTCCCTCAGCCCTGGTCCCTGCAGCCCTGGTCCCTCAGCCCTGGTCCCTGCAGCCCTGGTCCCTCAGCCCTGGTCCCTGCAGCCCTGGTCCCTCAGCCCTGGTCCCTGCAGCCCTGGTCCCTCAGCCCTGGTCCCTGCAGCCCTGGTCCCTCAGCCCTGGTCCCTGCAGCCCTGGTCCCTCAGCCCTGGTCCCTGCAGCCCTGGTCCCTCAGCCCTGGTCCCTGCAGCCCTGGTCCCTCAGCCCTGGTCCCTGCAGCCCTGGTCCCTCAGCCCTGGTCCCTGCAGCCCTGGTCCCTCAGCCCTGGTCCCTGCAGCCCTGGTCCCTCAGCCCTGGTCCCTGCAGCCCTGGTCCCTCAGCCCTGGTCCCTGCAGCCCTGGTCCCTCAGCCCTGGTCCCTGCAGCCCTGGTCCCTCAGCCCTGGTCCCTGCAGCCCTGGTCCCTCAGCCCTGGTCCCTGCAGCCCTGGTCCCTCAGCCCTGGTCCCTGCAGCCCTGGTCCCTCAGCCCTGGTCCCTGCAGCCCTGGTCCCTCAGCCCTGGTCCCTGCAGCCCTGGTCCCTCAGCCCTGGTCCCTGCAGCCCTGGTCCCTCAGCCCTGGTCCCTGCAGCCCTGGTCCCTCAGCCCTGGTCCCCTCAGCCCTGGTCCCCGCAGCCCCCACCTCCACTGTGGGCCGAGCAGGGTGGTCCTCGCGCAGCAGCCGGTCCCCCGTGGTCTGGATCTCCTTGATCTTCTTTTCCTTCAGCTCCAGCTCACGCATCAGGGCCTGACAGGGCAGCCGGTCTCAGGGTCAGTGTCAGGGCCGC